AAATTCATACACAATTAAAAAAAAAAAAGAGTGAAACTGAAAGAAGCGATCGGTAGGTTTGGTACGAAATGCGTGGGCGTGAAAACTGGATGTGCCGTTGAGCGAGAGAAAAGCGAGAGGAAAAGCGAGACGTAAAGTACACTGCAAAGGGAAGAGCAACGTGCCCGAAATTCCGACCATTTGTTAGTTTGGAATAGCGGGGTCTCTTTTGGTTATTCTTTTTTCTTCTTCGGTACGATCGAAATACGAATTTTCAATAGTACTTCGTAAATTTGTGGAAGTTAATGGGGGAGATTGCAGGGAGATTGTAAGGTAATCAAATGTAGAATCGGATTTTCCAAGCTGCATTGTGTCTTTGTTTCAGAGGTACTTTTCAGTAATTTGTGAATAATTTGCAATGTAATTTTCCAACTTAATTTTTCTATAAATCATAAGATTTTCAAGCTGATCAAAATTACATGAATATTTCAAATTATTGGCAAGATTTATAATTAATAAATATTTCTTTGATTAAATGGAAGTGATTTTTAATTATAGATCTAATATTAATAGTTTTCATAAAAGAATTGTATATAAAAAAGAAAAAGAAAATAAATGAAATTAAATCATTTTGCCAAATATTGATGATATTTGAATATATATATATTTGACTATAACACTAGTCCAGTAAGTAGAATAAATATTTTATTCATCTTACTAGATTTATTACATTTCAAATTGTTGAATTTGCAATTTATGATATGTCTTATGTATTCTAAAATAAATAAAATCAAAGTAAAGTAAAAATTCTATATATATATTATAAATAAAGTAATAGAAATAAAGTCTAATTAATAGTAAAAAATTTATTAGTACAAATAAAGTAATTAAAATATATTGACATGTTTTCACAATTTTCATTTTACTTTTATTTTAATGATATAATTCTAAACATATTCTGTAGGATATAGTAAAAAACCTTGTCAAATTTATCAGATTTTGAGAACATGTAATATTGATAAAGTATTAACCATAATTTAAAAAGTTTTTCTAGAGTTTTAAATCACACCGGAACAAAATGAACCTGTTTAACTTAGTACATGGAAATGCAACCTCAAAGAAGTTAAGTAATGGAGTTTACTGAAAGTTTATTAACTCATACTCTATTTTTAGCTAGATATTTTTTAAATATCGTCAAATAAAATGTGTTTAAAAATTATGCAAAGGGCCATTATTTCATTAACGATGTATATAAACATTTTAATTTTGAAGAAAGATAATTTTAATATTTTATCGAAATATTTTTCTAATGTTAAATAAGTCTTAATTATTAACATGAATTAATAAAATATTGCATTCTCAATAAAGAATTACATAATTTCACGGCGATAACTGTTGCACTAAATAACTTTTGGCTTTTAAAAACTACCATAGAATCTTTCAAAATAAATTGTTCTATAAATATACTTATATGTAAAAAAAATTTTTTTCAAGCTATAATAATGTATTTTTAAACTTGCTTAAAAAGTAAGTGGTTTTCCTTTTTTTCCAATTAACATAAATTCAGAGAGAAAGTTATAAAAAAACTTGATACTCGGTTCATTGAGTTTTCACAAAGCATATTCCATTATATGTGTATAATAAAAGTAAATATTTCGATACAATCAATGACATTCCTATTATGCATATATAAATAATACTCTTCTAAATGCATAATGGAATATATTATTCAAATTAATATAAAATTTACATAATACAAATTATATAATATTGAACATTTATTTTAATTATTATTCTATTTAGAAAAAGTATTGATTTATTTTCTCATATAGGTACATTAATAATTTATATATATTACATAAAATTAAATTTTTCAAGATTATTTTAAAGATTTTTGTAAGATCAATTATAGGATAATATATTATAAAATTTCCTAAAATGATATATAATATATTATATGCGTACTTTTGTTTTATGTAAATAATGTTTAGTAATCATGGTTAGCGAAATAGTTTAAAATAATTAACAATTTAAATAACATTTAAATATGTAAATAATTAAAATTGTTAGACAAAATTGTATACAATTGTAATAAAAATCAGTTAATAACTAGTTAATATGTAGAATAAGTTATAATTGAAAAAGATCGCTGATAAATTGTGAATAAAGTTTTAAAATGATCGTTCTCCTATCATCAAAAAGACATGTAATTTAAATGTAAATATTAAATTAACATATTTAATATAGAAATTAATACCTATAAATTTATTAAAATTATGATCTATTATTTATTAGTAGTGTCAAATTAGTTGATTTAAAATTTTAAATTCAGTTTTTCTAATATTTTATTCTAAAATAATATCCAAACTAATCTTTTTTCTAAGCTTTAGAAAATTTTTTATAAAATTTGCATAATTTTGTTGGTTACTTATATAAAATAAAAATGTATTGAAATTCATTTCTCTATAAACTATATTCACTACAATACAATATAAATATATTATATATAGTATTTTAACATATATGGAAATGCAAAGCCATTATTTATTTGTATATATTTGTTAATAAATTTTTACTTGCTAAAATTCTTTGATATATTATTTTATTGAAAATTAATTCTCTTTTTCCGTTCATATCATGAATACAATGGAAAATTGTATAATTGTGATATTATATGGATTCAATCTTATGCTTTCTATACTCATTAACGCGTAACATGTAGTCCATCAATTTCAGTTTATAAATTATCAAAATATATTGTTTATCATATCGATAGTAATATTGTAATTGCGTCATTTTTATTCTATCATATTTTCGTAAATATTACAAGAAACACTTCGTAGTAATTCGTTATGTAGTCTAAGATATTTACCGTATAAACATTTACTCAAGTTCTAGTGAAAAGAGACTCTCACTTATCACAAGTCTCACTTATCACAGCAGTCTAAGGGTTGTCATGTTGACATTACTTCTGTACATATTATATAAAGATGTGTATAGATATATATATATATATATATATATATATATACATCTAGATTAAGAATTTGAAGGAATGCAAAAGATTAATAAACATATGTACTCTATGTCTTAGCCACATATTACGTTTATATTCATAATCATTATGATATTTATATTAAATGAATTGGAAAAAAATATAAATATGAATTATACGTTCGATTATCATTGTTTAATTATCATTAATAAATGTTTTAATAAGAATAATTTAAAAAAAAATAGTTATTGAAATGTATAATGAATATATGTTTACCGAATATATTGAATTTGAATAAATGGTAAGCAAATAACACAATATTGATAAATGATTCTGAAAAAAAAAGTTGAATATGAAATATAGATTATATGGTTTTTGTATTTGTAGTAAAAAAAAAAGAAATAAAGCTAATAGATTTTTTTTCATTAAAATCGTTTTTGATATTTCAATCAAACGGTATAACAATGTACATCATTGTTCGTTAACAAATTTTCTGATTTATGTACAAAATTTCTTTTGTGCTTGAATCCAGTATTATACTTCTGTAAGTCAATTTAAAATTTAAATATTATGTGTAGAGATTCTAACTTATAAAACTTACAAAAGTTCTAAATTTACATAAGAATATATACATGGTAGGCCAATATTGCAGAGAAATTTTTCTTTTCCTAGTTATAATTCATTTGAAAATCGATGTTATAACGCATTGCAGCTGCAACACAGAGACGTATGTATAGTCAAAGCCAATATCTTCTACGTTTAGTTTTCTGGTTTGATTTCTTTGTTTAGAAATAAAATGTGTACAACTAGATTAAATTGTTGAGCCGCAAGAAGAGTCGTTACCACGAATTCACTGCCGTTTTATATCGTAAACTATTGTCTAATTATACAAGCTATCAAGCTATTTACATACGTTATAATAAAAAAAATTAAAAGGTATATATATATATATATATATATATTTTTTTTTTTAATGAAAATCTTGACTCTAATGATGTCAGATTTATAGATGAAAATACTTTTTACCAGACTAGCTCATAATAAGTTGTAATTTAGTAAGATAAAAATGATTATTAAATTGATTGTCCCCCCAATGATTTAATTTTAATATTTTAGCCAATATTAGAATAATTTTTATTATTCAGAAATATACGTTTAATATATTACTGATTACCTTAATTTGATGTATAAATACAGAAACAATAAATAAAAATACATAATAATATATAATAATATATAAATAATAGTAGATAATTTATTTATTAATTAATTGTATAACAAAATAGTTTTATACATAAATTCATTAAATTATAATAACTATTATAATGCAACATAATTGTCTAATAATTATATAACACATAAAAATATATTTTTTCGTTTTATATTTTATATTTTATGATTTATATTTTTTATTATCTTTTATAATAAAATTAATTTTTTATAATTTTAACAGACTAACAATCAATATTTCTCAATATATTTTCTTCAATACTTTAATCGATTATGAATTTATTTTCAGATAAAACTCATAGGGCCTATGGAACGAAACATTTTATCATTTGCCCTGATTTACATTCTATCCAATATAATTAGCAAATTTCATCGATATAAATTAAGTTTCAGATTATCGGCGGGCATACGCTGACTTCTCCAAAAGATTTTTGTTACGTCATATTATCTATTAATTTACCTTTTTTGCTGCTTGATTATAGTTCCTTTCGGAAGAGAGTTCGGGGGATCATGACTTGATCAGCGGCTCGGGAGAAATCGATCTCGATGACGTTCCCGTGAGTTACACTATTATACCTCTGGTAGACTTGACTTTCGTGCGACGTTGTTAAAAATTAAGGCTTTAACATCATCTTCATTCGTTTTCTTTTCGTCTATTAGTTTAAAGTGAAATACGGTTCACGTGTTCACCTCATTCGCTATTAATGGGAATGTGGCTTTCGGACGTCATCGACGCCTCTCAGCTTAAAATATACTTCAAACATAACTCATTGACTGCTTCTTGTATTATGTGCATTGAATCTATATTACTTCGTTTGCTAATTCTCTTAACCCATTTCTTCTTTTATGTACATCTGTGCCTCAGTCTTTTCTCGATTTCAGATTTTCGTATAATATTTGTATTTAAAATGTGTTCAAGGGAACGTCAGTTGGTTAAAAGCCACTCGGTGCACATTGATTAAATAACCGACAGATTTTGTTTAATGAAAGTGTTAGGTATTTATGCTCGGTAGAAATAAATTCTTTACTAATTTTTTCAAAATAAAATAAAAATATTTTAAATAATTTAATCGAATGCTATAATAGTAATAAAATAAGTCCTCTGTACTATTTTCCTATTAGTCAAATTAATGAAAACTTATTTTACATTCGACGGAAGAAATCGTTTTATTATCTGCGAGTAATAGTGCGGATCTAATAAAGATGTTATTAACAAGTGTGACGGTGATTTATTTTCATTTTGGATAAATCATTAAGTATTGTGTTAATAATTTTATTTTCTCCGAAAATGACAAAAGACATTTGTAATGTTTACGGAAAACACTGGATTTTGGCTCTTTTTCTCACGCATATGCCATATAATGTTAAGAAATTAATTTACATTTTATAATACTAATTAAATATCTGGTTTTTAGATTTTTTAACGACAAATTAAAAATAATTACATTAATTTCTTAGAAGGATATTCAACAGCTCCAAAGGCATACTTTTTTATGAATTTTCCAATCACTTGTTAGCTTTAAAATTGTATATAAAGCATTTAAATAATTAGACGATCCTATAAAAATCACGCATTATTATATTATATTATATTACACACGCGTATTTAAATATTTTAAATAATTATTTTTATTAGGTAATTATTAATTAGAGTAATGGATTTTATCAACAATATTACAGAGTGAATAATTGCTATCAGTACGCAGATTTATTCATAAAGTATTTCTAAATATATACAAAATATTATTAATTAAATCATTCATTATTATATGATGTTAATTTCAATATTATTATGCAATTTGTTTATAATTTATTACTTTACTGCATTAACGTAATATCGATCGGATGCAAATTCAAATTAATAGTAAATAAATTTCTATGTTTTATTTCTATTTACAATTCAATGTAAATATTTATTATTTTTATTTAATCTAATTTAATTTTTTCAATTGAAATACACTGGATAAATTCAAAGTACAGAGTATCGATTATTATCGCTAATAATATTCTAAATTATAATGTTTATATAGTTTGTAGTTTATGTAATAATTTATATTTGTAATTTATTATGTATTATGAACTATTTTTTACTATTTTTACTATTTTTCAAGTAAAATTGATGGATCAGTACACCATTCAATAGGTATGTAGTGTATTTCCATATGATTATCGTAAGAATATTTTATTATTATTAAAAAGATACACCTAAAAATTTTATAATAATTACACAAATAAAATTATGCGACAGTAAAGTTTAGGATAAAAAAAATATTAAATGAGTAGTGTATTAATTGTACTTATATATAATTTTAGGTGAATAAAATATATATTCTGTTCAAGAATCGTATTTTCGGTATTAAGTATTATAATAATTATTAATTATTGTAGTAATTAATATATTATTTTAAGATAGATATGAATTTATACTAATTATATTGATTCATTTGATGTATAAATTTATTATTTACTGTTATTAATTTAACACATATATTATGAATTATGTTATATATATTAATAAATATTATGTATTTGTTTAAAAATTATTATTTGATAGATATAATTTGTATTCTCATTCTAGCTAATTCGATTAAATGTAAATATATTAGAAAATTATCGGAATTAAATATAATGAATATAGAATTATGCTTTAATTTATTTAAACAAACACGTGGAACATCAAAATATACGTACATATAACACGAGAAAATACTAAATTCTTTTTAAATGTATTAAATTTAGAATCGAAATTATTATTTTTACAACTGAATTAAATTCTGTTAGCAATTGATACTCATATGATTACTATATCGATTAAACATCACGTAATGGAAATTAAGAGATAAATATAAAATTTATATTCAGTTACCTTATAATTATAACATGAATAATTAAATCTTTGTATTTAGCATTTGTAAATCCAATAAATCCCAATAACTGATTATCTAAATTTACGCATGACTCGTCTGTATATTTTTAATAAATAGTTGGTAAATAATTGTCAGGCTAAAAGGAATGCTTTCATTATGTGAAATTTAAGGAACATTTTCATATAGACATTTCATACCAACATTTATTCATATTTGCATTGACTATTCAATTTAATTAATGGTAATATTAATCCCATGCCTATTTTAATTTGATACATAATATTATTAAGAATATTTGTATTATAATAAAGTTATTCTAAATATATTTAATTTATTGTATATAATTATGCTTATTAAATAAATGAATTTTTATAATTAAATAGGTTTGTTTTCGTTAAATATTGAATTTAAATTTGTCGTGAAATAATTCTTTAAATGAGACATAAATTTCATATTATTCTTATTATGAATGCTGAAATTCATTGAATAAATATAAAAATATTTAGAAGAAAATAATATCATAATTAATGTTTGAATTAATAATATAATATCTACAAATATTATTGTATTTATGTACGTTAAATTTTAGTCTTCTAAAGTATTAAGATTCCATGTAATCACCCACAAACTTATCAAGCGTTAAAGAAAAACACTCGACTGTTTGAGTTTTCATTTCCTCCTTCTTTACCCGATTCACCCACTCTCTTGCTCGCCTGCTCTTTTATCTAACAATCTTATTCAACTTTATTTTTTCAAACTAAAGTAAGCACTACATTTAAAAAATCTAATATATAATCAAAAGAGAGTGGAGCGCTAAATTACGCGATATGAAAACTAGAGTTCCATCAAAAGGTTAAAAAATGAATTTCGAAGTAAAAACTTAATTTACAGTTCACGTTAACTCGAACAATCTTCGAGAATGACTGTGGTATTTATAGTCGTCGAACTTTTAAGAGGGCTGTACCATTGCCGAGTAGGCAAGCCAGAGAGTAAAAAAGGACAAAAGAGTGACATTACACCTTGTTTCGCACGCTGGTACAGCGATGAAGTTTCGAGTTTAAGAAAATCATTAGAACAAAGGGAAAGA